ATAACCCAAATCGCAAAGTTGGCAAAAGACACGGAAAGACTTTTCACAAAGGAAAAAGTTCAGATGGCCAACAGACACATGAAGAAATGCTCAAAATCACTGGCAATCAGAGAGATTCAAATCAAAACAACAATGAACTATCATCTCACCAAGATAGCAAGCAATAAATGTTGGAGAGGATTTGGAGAGATTGGAACTCTTATACACTGTTAGTGGGATTGTAAAATGGCACAACCAGTCTGGAAGACAGTTTGGAATTTCCTCAAAAATCTTTGCATAGAAATGCCATATGACCCAGCTATTCCACTACTAGGAATATACCTCAAGGAAAATAGAACTGAGGCACAGAGATATGTACACCACTGTTCACAGCAACATTATTCACCATCACAAGAACATGGAAACATCCCAGATGTCCATCAACAAATGAATGAATTGAGACATTGTGGTACGTTCATACAATGGAATACTATGCAGCACTCAGGAGCAACGATTTAGTAAAATATTACATGAAAATGATGAGAAAGTGTTATGTTGAGTAAATTAACTCAGCTTTGTAAGGAAAAATGCTGCATAAAACCTTATTGTAAAACCAAAAGGATAACTAGTAAGATGTGGATAAAAGTCCAAAGGAGGAAGGCGGTAGGGGAAAGGGAGTGAGAGGGGTCATTGACAGAGTTACAAAGCTTGGTGGATGGAGGAACAGGGTGGTGAATTAGGATAGATCTAGTAGAGACCTGAAAAGATGGGATTATAGTGGGTATCAATCAATGATGATTAATTTTATAAAACACTGTGTCTGGGCATGAACACATGAAACACCATGGGAAATACAACGTGAAGTGTGTGAAATACAATGTGAATGAATGCAACACAATGCATACAAATTTTGTATGCAAATAAATATAAAATTTTTTTTAAATCAAGCATAGGTTTACATACAGAAAGAAATGTTCTTTGATGGTTGTTAAGGAGGTGATAGAAAGAGAATCATCCACTAGATAATGTTCAGATGTTAACTCTGCTGCAGCAAACAGCATACGACAACATGAGGAAGTCAGGGCAATGTGATCTGAGCAATGGAAGACAATGAGAGGCACACAGAATAAAGGACAACCACAGCTAGTGCTGAAACATGCATTTTTATGCAACAATAGTGATAACGAAGAGTAATTTATGATCTTAAACAGATAAATACATATACTAAATAGATAAGTCATAGATGAATATACCTGTAAGCATTTAAATATTGCTAGAATTACAATCAGTGTCTAGGGACAATTTGCATATTAATTGTTGATTGAAAAGCTAATATTCTGTTTAAGCTTTAACCTAAATCACAATAAAAGAATGGCATTCACTTCCTAAACAACATACCTCTTGAAACTATAAACTTTTATAAATTATGATAGTTATAGAAAGGCTTCAGGCCTTTTGTTCATAGGGTCGTTATGAGTCGTGCTTGACTCGATGGCAATAAATAACAAAAACAATAAAAACCAAGAGTAGGTGCAATGTTCTTTGGAAGTGGCTTCCCCTCACAAATACATTTTTTTGCCTTTCTTTCTTTTTTATAGACAAAATATATATAGAGATACCATGTATTCAGCACCTACAGTGATATAATAGTTTCCTATTCACTTAAATTTAAGATAAATTGTCACATTGTTCCTCTCCAGATTCAGATCCATACTATTCAATGGGCTTTCCATGTTGTTGGTTGGGTCGACCCTTGACTCATAGGGACCCCAGGTACAATAGAAAGAAAGTCTATCAGGTCCTGTTCTTTCCCTAGGATCAAGACTCACAGGGTTTTATTTGCTAATTTCCCAAAGGAGATCTGCACATCTTTCCTTCTGACCTATTAAGTTTGAAAGAGCCAGTGAAGCCTGGTCAATGTCATGGCAGCAGATAAACTCCAGTGACAGAGAAGTAGTAGTGACCTTGGTGGGCAGTGTACCGTCCAAGAATCCAAACCAGATCTTCCTGAACAGCAAGACTTCTACCACTGACTCAGACAAGACCCAACCCCCACGGAGCTTCACCCCAAAGATTTACATGACAGACTGTGCCCGGGAAATGATTGCTCTCTCTCTGCCTGGGTACTGCTTCAGAAAAATTGCTTTACCAGGTAGAGGAATCATTCATTTTAAAACCAGGTAAACGGTTTCTGAGAGGAATAATAGCATTGAAAAGAACATTAAAGGACTATTCGTTTTCTTCCGCATGCTAACACTTTGAAGAAACAGAGACCTGAAAATGACAGAAGCTGTATTAATTGTATGTTGTTTATTTCCACCGATAGCTCTCTGTGACCCCAGCATGTAGATTATTTGGTTTAAGGAAACACACTGTTTTGTTTTGTTTTTTTTTAAATAAGGCTTACAAGTATTTGCCTATTATTAATCTTAAAAAACGTGCAGGTTTAAATTTCATCTTTCCTTTAGCTTGTTATCATTGATATTGTTATGGGTCATCGAGTAGGACTCGCAGGGATGCTATGAATAGCGAACCTGACTTGGTCGTCTCCCGTGCCATCCTCACCATCTCCAACACACTCGAGTCCACTGCTGAAGTCACCACATCAATCCCACTCATTGGAGGTCTTCCTCTCCTTCACTGACTCATCTTTGTAAGCACGATGTTCCATGCTGTTCACGATGTGCAAGGTACAGCATCACCTAACTGCATGTCCAAAGTATGAAGGAGGAACTCTGTCATCCTTGTCACCAAGGACCATTCTGGATGCACCCTCTCCAAGACATAGCTGTTTGTTCTTTGGGCTGTCCATGGGGTAGTCAGTGCTCTTCTCCAGCACCACAAGTTAAGGCATCAACTCTTCCACCATCCTTACTCATTGTCCAGCTCTCTGGTGTGTAACAGGTGATTGAGAAGACCATGGCCGACACCAAGTGCACCTTAGTCTGTAAACTGGCACAACTGCTCTTCACCATTTTCGAGAAGTCTCTGACAGCAGACTTGTCCAATGCACGGGAATTTCATATCAGGCCCAATGGCAAGTTACTGTACTGAGTTGTAGCACCAAATACCTTTCATCTACTTCCTTTACTGCCATTGATGAGCTCTGTGCTTTTGTTTCTTTTCTTCTCAGTTGCCTAAAATATTTTCTGAAGCAAAGAAGGCGTGAGTTCTAAATCACTAGGCCACCGGAGCTCCTTAAATATATTCAAATCAGTAAATAAAAATGGTTGTTGTTGGCTGATGAGTATTGTAGAGGTGAAACCAACCCATAGCAGACCCTCCAGTGGGTTTTCAGAGGCAGTTAATCACACGGAGGAGATTGCCCATCCTTCTCCCATGGAACAGCTGGTGACATCGAACTGTGTGCCTTTGGGATTGCAGCTCCGCTTCTTGCCACTAGGCCACCAGAGCTCCCTAATTAAATTAAAATGACTTTAGAGAAAGTCTGTAAATGTTTTTGGAGAAATTTACTGGATACTTTCAGGCCATCATGGCTGTCACATCACACAGCCCCAAGAAATGCCAAGTGTTTATCTTCTAAATCACATCATCTCCACGTAGCGGTACAAAAAAATTGTCCCAATTCTTAGCACCTACAGGCAACACTATTTATACTGTCTCTGTGTGTAGAGGGAAGTCTTTGGGTGATACAAACTATTAATATCTTAACTCAAAAATTGGAAGTTCAAATCCAAGCAGGTGATGATCAATACTCCAGACTAAGCATGGCAGACTAAAGATGATAGAAGAATCGATGCCTTTGAGTTGGAGTGCTGGAGAAGAATGCTGGATAACCAATGGACTGTCAAAGGAATAAACAGTTCTGTGCTGAAAAAGCTACACCAGGGTCTCCTTGGAAGCAAGGACGGTGAATCTTTGTCTCACGTACATTGGGCCTTTTTTTAGGAAGGGCCATTCCTTGGTGAAGACATCAAGCTTGGAAAGGTTGGAAACATTGGCAAAGGGAGGAAGACCCTCAATGCAATGAATTGGAAAAGCAGCTGTAACAAAGAGCTGAATGAAGTAAGTAAAAATTGATGAGGATGGAACAGGATAGGACGGGCTTCAGATCAATTGCTAATAAGGTCGCTATGGGTTGTAGCTGACTCCATGGTGGTGGTGTTATGTGCTGTTGAGTTGCCTGTGACTCATAGCGACCTCATATACAACAGCCCTAAACCCAGGCCTATCCTGTGCCAATCTCACTGTCTCTGACACACCTATCCCCATTACCCCAGTGACGGAATCAATCCATTTCAACCAGGGTCTTCCCCTCCTGTGCTATCCCTCTACTCTCCCAAGCATGACGTCCCTCTCCAAGGACTGGTCCCTCCTTGCAACATGTCCAAAGTATGTTAGACGGAGCCTCAGAATCTTTGACTCCATGGAACATAACAATAACAACAATACTACTTCTGAGAAAGACCCTCAATGAGATGGATTGGCACAGTCACTGTAACAGTTATCTTGAGCATGGTGGAGGTCATAAGGATGGTAAATTACAGGGCAATGTTTCAATCTGTTGTTCAGGTTCTCTATGAGTCATAGTCGACCTGACAACACTCAACAACAATACTTATGAAATATCAGTCACTGAAAGTGCTGTTGGAGCGTAGTTACACTCTTGTATACACAGGATCAACATGCGTGGAAACAATTCGAGAACATTTTGTACTGTTTGCTTGACTTGGGTTTTATTTCGGCCATAAATAGTGTGGCCAGAGTCACTGTAGCTTTGATCTTCTAACTTTCAATTGGAGAAGGCATTATGCAGGGAAAGGTGGAAGGTCAGAGAAAGAGAAGAAGACTCAAGAGGATGGGTTGATGCAGTGACTGCAACAATGGTCTTAGAATCTTGAGGATGGTGCAGGATAGAGCAGTGTTCAGACCTCAGGTTCACAGCATTACTATGAGTCAAAGGTCAGAGACACCCAACAACAACAACAACTTACAATTGCTTGAAAGCAGTTCACAAAGACCTCAGTAATTAAAGTCTGGGAGAACAGCATGGCTCTTACCTGAACTGTGGTTTCCTGCCAGCAAGGTGGGACTCACGGAGGATCTTCCAAGTCTGCTGGTCACCACGGGTGGCCCAGGTGTTCCGTCCCATTCCTGAGCTTTGCCAGGCTCTCTGGAGGAAGAGGCTCCATGATGCCCTCTCTCTTTGCTGTCCGGCTTTGGTATTGGCTCCGTGCTGTGGCTTCGAACTTTGAGCTCGTCTGTTGATTCTATAAATTATCCAGAAAGAAAAAAAAAGTTCCATTAAACAAATGTAGGGGAGTGAACTTGTGGGGAGGGACTGTATAACAACGAAGGGATTTTTCTCTTTTACTTTTCAAAGAGAAGAGTGAACTGGGAGGGCAGGGCAGGGGGAAAAGCAGAACAGTGAATGAATGGAAATCCAAAGTCTCTGTAAATTTTCATTAAAACTTATAATAATAATAAAAGAAACATTAAAAAAATATAAGGTTCTTCTCAAATTCCTTATTAAAAATTAGATAATAATTCCCTAAAATGCTTTCAGTTTATTTTTGAAAATTAAACTTGCATTTTATTATTGTACAATTTAAATATGAAAGGGATTTAGATTGCAAGAAGCTTTTTTAAAAAATACATGTATCTTCCTTTCACTGTGAAATAAAGTTTGTTTGCAAATAAAGAACTATGAGACGTCTCAGGTCTTCTGTCAGTCCTCTTGTGCTCACCATCAAGGACATTTGTGAAAAACTAGTTTAACACCCACTCTCCTTACTTTCTCATCTGTCATTGGTGCTTCAACCCAACCCACTCACATCACAGGAAGTGCACTGCACAAGAATCAAACCTGGGTCTTCTTCCTGGAAAGCGGGAACACCACCACTGGCCCAACAACGCATGAGAAGACTTCACCGCCCAAGGTTTGCATGACTTGTTAAATCTTGGAAAGCTATCACTTTGCTTCAGCCTGACAATTCAACTAAAACAATCCTTGCTAAGATCACTTAGGTGACAAGTCTGGAAGATACTTTTCCCCAGCTCTTTTGACATTCATTATTCTTATTTATGTCTCTAATTCTCTTAATTTACTAAATAGGCTACCTTTTTTGTACTGTGTTCTGTTTCGGGTGGTATCTCTATGTTTTTATACTTGTCTTCCTTTCTCTTCCTCAACTCACTGTTCTTTATAATACTCTTTCTATTCATTGCTGCATTGTACACAATAGCAAAGAGATGGAAGAAACCCAAGACCCCATCAAAAAATGAATGGATAGAAAAACTATGGTACATTCACACAATGGAATACTACATAGCACTGAAAAACACGGAACTGATAAAATATTACCCAACATAAGTGACCCCGGAAAACATCCTGCTGAGTGAAATATCTCATTACAAAAGGACAAAGACTGCATAGCACACTGTTATAAAACAAGACTGACATAGGATGGGAGGAAACTAAGAAAAGAGGATCAATAATGAACATTGCATTGGAAGATAAAGGAAAGAACTGCTTAAAAGAAATATATGATTAGGCATTATTTGTATGTCAACAACCCAGAATAAGAGATGCATAGCAAAGTGGACTGGGGAAGCAGGGAGGAGAGGGAGAAAATTATGCAAAAATGCATGATTTTTTTTAAGTAAAATGGGGGAGGTAGGGAGGAAAATGTGCAACAATGGATGAATGAAAATCCAACTTTTCTGTAAATTTTCATGGAGGCTGAGTGACGGGGCAGGTGAAAGCTGACAATGCTTTGATAACATATTGACTGGAGCAGCTGACTAGTTTAGTTGGGGAAAAAAACACACCCAGACACTAATAACTTTCAAGGAACTCTGGTGGCCTGCTGGGTAAGGAGTGTTGCTGCCAGCCCAAAGGCAGGTGGTTCAAATCCACCACTGCTTTGAGAGAGAAAGAGGGGAAGTGTCCTCCACGCGATTTACAACTTCTGGGACCCACTGGAGGGCCAACTGTGGGCTGGTTCCACATAAATGACAATGATTTTGAGCTTTTTAAATAATGGAAAAGGGCAAGAGGTAGTTCAGAGGATCTGCATTTTGGGAAATTATTTAGGTTCAAGTGGTTCTCAAGTTTGAGCAGTGTGATGATGCGTAGCCCACACTTAGTCTATTACCTGAGCTTCGGGGATAGACAGAACCATGCCTCACACAGTGTGAAGTAGTAGTCGTGGACAAATCCAAGCAATCTCACCGTCCTGGCCCTGGCCGAGGACTCACATCACTGGGCACCAGATTTTTCCTCTCAGAGACTCATTTTTCTTAACTTTACACCAGAGATAATGCCAATCCTGCCTAACTTTCCAGATTTTATTCAAAGTATCCAATAATATTCTGTATTTTCACGTATTTTTGAAAAGTAACACTTCCTACACAAATAAAATGCAATATTAATTTAAATGCAGTTTAGTCATTGGCCCTTTAAATATGTTGGATATTTCTGCATTTAAGCTAAATAATTGCAATAGTCCCCTGGAACCCTAAAATGATAGGTGATTGCATAAACACAGGTCATAAATAGATACAGAGACAGATGTAGGTCGCCATGATGATGGTACTTGCTCTAGAGTGGGAATCAACCCCATAGTAGACGCTCCAGCAGGTTTTCCAAGGCAGTTAGTCACACAGGTGGAGACTGCTCACCCTTCTCTTGCCTCTGGTGCATTTGAACTGTGTGACTTTGGGCTTACAGTGCAGCTTCTTGCCATTAGGCCATCAGAGCGGATAAAGGAAGCACTCCAAGAGCTAATTTAAGATTTAGAGGAGAACTTGGCATGGAATAGATGGGTCATTAGGCTCTGAAGCTATGACATTTGGAGAGCATATCGACTTTTTTAAAAAAAACTGAATAAATACTTTCAAAGTTACCTGTGATGTTCTTTTCTGATGCCAATGTTTTTTTTTTATTTATTGACTGACAGCTCTGAAAAGGAAGAGTTTGTTGAAATGTGTGACAGTAATTCTTAAACTAAAATGTATCACTTTAAAGAATATTATGCTTATGAGACCCTTAGCTGAAGAGTTGTTGCCAAGTGTTTTGTGGGTTTTTTACTCCCAGATCTATAGGTTTTCTTTTTAATCTACTGGGGAAAGTTGGGTTTTTGTTTGTTTGCTTATAAGTTAAGTTATATTTAGATTTCTTTTCAGTTACTTTGCCATGAATGACCTCAAGATTCTACAGGAAAGTAACTATCTCTTCATTCCCAAGAATGGTGAAGGCATCTGAGACTCCTCCCTTAAACACACAAATAGTCTGTTCATACTCCTGTAATAATTTGGTTAGTTGTTGTTGTTGTTGTTGTTGTTAAATTTTCCTTTTTATTCAGTGAAAGAGTATTTCAACTTGTAGTCCAAGTTGTCATCACCAAAAGTATTTTAATTTTTTTAAAATTTTATACTGGTTTATTTACAAATTTAGAATATATGTATTTTCACACCACATCTTTCCCATTTCCTTCTCCTCCCCATCCATCAAATTGAATAACCCTATGATTAACCCCCCATCTTCACCCCTCTGCTTCTACCCTTCGCTGTCCTGGGATATTCATGCTTATTCTCCAATAATGGTTTTATACCGATTTTGTCCTTATGGGACTGAGTTCATTCAGTGTATAGTGCTGTCCATTTCCTCCCAAGTTAGGTAATAACTGACAGAATCATTGCTCCTGCATGCTGGATACTTGCGAATGTACCAAATTTCTCAATCCATTCAATTGTGGGTGGACATCTGCCTGTTTTCCTGTTCTTGCAAAGGTGAATAACACTGCTATGAACGTCGGTGCACAGACCTTCATGTGTGACTCAGTTCTGAACCTCCACAAGAAAAAGGACTAATAACTCAATCACAAAAAAGGAAAGGGGAATAGAAAAAGACTCTTCACAAAGAAGGACAACTGGATGGTCAAGAATACACGAGAAAATGTTCAAATTCATGAGCAATCACAGGGATGCAAATCAAAACCGCAATGAGATACCACCTCATCCCAGCAGCAGCAGCAAAGCTCAACAAAATGACAAACAATAATTGTCGGAGAGGATGTGGACAGATTGGAACTCTTATGCACTGCTGGTGGGATTGTAGAGTGGTACAACTATTATGGAAGACAGTTTGGTGTTTGCTAATAGAACTCCCATATGATCCAATTATTCTACTGATAGGAATATATCACAAGGAAATCAGAACTGAGACACAAATGGACGTCTGTACACATATATATGTTCATAGAAGTGTTAGCCACAAACAACAGAGAAATAGAAGCAGCCCAAATGCCCATCAATACTATGTAGCACTGAGGAACACTAATTTCATAAAATACTATATGGCCTGAGAGAGACTAGAGAAATAAAATAAAATGTGAAATAAAATACCTCTGTGACATCAGGACAATTACTACATGAGGCCACTACTGTGAAAGTAGGAGAATAACTGAGTAAGTTAAGTTATGGATAAATGTTCAAAAGGGTAAGGAAAGACGGCAGAAAAAAGGGAAAGGGGTGAAAGGACTGGTAGAGAAGAGGTCAGTGGGTGGAGATAGTGTAAAGCAATGGCAAAGGTCCAATGGAGGCTTGAAAAGATCGGGTGATAACAGGCATAGCTGTTATTGCTGTTATGTGCCATCGAGTCATAGACAACTCATAGCGACCCTATGAATGAAAGATCTGAACACTTGTATAACTTTCATTGTTTCTCCAAGTTCATAGAGTTTCCAGAGGCAAGTTATTTTGGAAGTGGATGCCACTCCTGCTTCCAAACTTGCTTTAATTGAGGAGCTCCACCAAACACTGTTCACCATGGGTAACCATCATCACATTTGACACATCAGTGTCACAGTGTTTAGCATCACAGCACCCACGAGTTACCTCTGTACAGCAAATTGATAGACCAGTGCTATACCACTTAGAAGAATGTTTGACCAAAAACAATTAAAACCAGGCCTAAGGGCTGCAGATGCTAATTATATAAAAGAAAATGTATATGAACAATTATCTAAAACACAAAGTGCTTGTACAAAATACAATATATATGAATGATTATATGCAAACCAATGAAATGTTTTTAAAAAATTTTACTTCTATTTTATTTTCTTCTAAGTGGGACTTCAACTTACAAACAGGACCATTTAAAAATCTGATATGTTTCTGATGTTGTTAGTGGCAAATGTGCTATCAAGGACTTATTTAAATTGTTACAGAGGTAGGATACCAGCTTAAAGACTAAGGTGCAACTGAT